ATCAAGGAAAATGATCAGGGATGAAGAGGGTCATCGCATAATGAAAAACGAGTCAATTCTCCAAGAAGATGCAACAATCTTCAATATTTATACACTTAACAACAGGGGGCCAAAACTGATAGATCGGCATGGAGAAATAGATGAATCCACTATTATAGTTGGAGAATTTAGTGCCACAATATCAGTGATTGGTAGGTCCAGTCGGGTGGAAATCTGTAGAGGTAGCTGGACTGAACAGCGTCGTCAATCACCTTGATGTAATTGACATAGGCTACTTCATTCAACAACCGCAGAATACGCTACTTTTGAAGCTCACATGAAACATTTACCAAGATAGACCACACTCTGGGCCATAAAACTCGGTTTAACAAATTTAAAAGAATTGTAATCATATAAACTATATTCTCACACCAGAATGGAGTTAAAGTAGAAACCTATTTCTAGGAGATAATTGGAAAATTCCAAAATATTTGGAGATGGAGCCATATACTTTTAAATGACACATGGGACAAAGAAGAAATCTCAAGAGAAGTTGAAAAATAATTTGAAATAAATGAAATTGAAAATATAACTTACGAAAATTTGTGGGATGCAGAAAAGGCAGTATTTAGAGAGAAATTTCTATTACTGAATTCATGTATTAGAAAAGAAAACCAATCCAAAATCAATAGTTTAAATTTCCACCTTGGAAAACTAGAGAAAGAAGAATCATCTAACCTCAAGCAAGAAGAAGAAAAGAAATAATAAAAGTCAGAGCCCAAATCAATGAAATTAAAGACAAGAAAACAATCAAGAGAATCGACAAAACCAAAAATTTGGCTCTTTGAGATCAATAAAATTGATAATCTCTAACCATGCCAATCAAGAAAAAAGGGAGAAGACACAAATATTAGAAATGAAAGAGGGGCCATTTCCACTGATCCAATGGATATTAAAAAGATATTAACATATATTGTGAACAACTCTATGGTGCTACACTGGAGGTCCTAACTAGTAGTCCAATAAGGGAAGGACAATAAATAGAAGATTTGTGAATTGCAAAAGTAGGAATGGAGCCATCATTCTCAACTAAAATATTCATATATAAATGCTAAAATTTTTAAGTGAGTTTACCAAACTTGCTGTATATAAAATTAACATATGAATTTCTGTTTTATCTCTGTATATTAGCTGTAGACAATTAGAAAATCAAACATTTTATAAGTTACTATTTCCAATTAATATTTAAAAATACAACTGTATGCCCACAAGTTTGATAAATGAGGAGAAACGGACCAATTTTTTGAAAGACACAATCTCCCAAAACTCACCTGAGAAGAAACCGATAATCTGGGTGGGGATATGTCTATTAAATACATTGAATCAATAATTAATGACTTTCCAAAACAGAAGGTGCTGGGCATAGATGGGTTTCCTGGTGGATTCTATGAAACATTTAAGGAAGAAATCATCCCAGTTCCCTACAATCTCTTCCAGGATATAGAAGTAGAAGAAATTCTTTCTAACTCATTCTGTGAGTCCAGCATTACCATGATATTGAACCAGATAAAGAAATTACAAAAAGGAAAATTGCGGACCAGTATTTCTTTTGAATACAGATGCGTAAATTCTTAACAAATATTAGCCAGTTGAATCCAGCAAGGTTCGAAAAGAACTATACACCACAAACTAGTTGATGAATTTATTCCAGATAGGCAAGGCTGGCTCAACATTTCAAAATTAATTAATAAAATTCACCGTATCAACAGGATAAAGAAGAGAAATCACATTAATGGATGCAGAAAAATTATTTGACAGCCCAGAACGCTCATTCCTGATTTAAAGAAAAATTTCTCATCAAACTACATACAGAAGGAAGCTTCCTCAACTTGATAAAAAACACCTACCAAAAAAAAACCTGTAGCTTAACCACATGCATAATGATGAGAAATGCCTTCCCCGTGAGGTAAGGAGCATGGCAAGCAGGCCCCTCTCACCACTCCTATTTGACATTCATGCTGGAAGTCCTAACTAGTGCAGTAAGAGAAGAAAAGGAAATAAAGGTAAATAGACGGAAGGAAGGAAGGAATAAAACTCTCTTTGTTCCTAGATAACGTGAATGTTTATGTAGAAAATAAAAAAGAATCAACAAAATATCTGCAGTAAGCAGTTACAGCAAGGTTGCAAAATGCAAAGTTAATAGAACAAAAGTCAATTACCTGCTTATATACCAGCAATGAACAAGTGGAATTTAAAAATACAATACCGTTTACATTAGCACTCCCTCCCTCAAAATTAAACATTAGGTACAAACTTTTAAAGATATATGTAGTATGTCTATGAGGAAAACTGTAAAACTCGGATGAAAAAATCAAAGGTCTAAATAAGTAGAAAGATAGCGTTTCTGCGTAGAAAGACATCATTAAGACGTCAGTGATTCCCAACTTGACCTGTAGATTTAACTCAAGCAGTCCGGCTGCTGCACTGCTGATGTGGGGATCAAATCCCTGAGCTCATCAGGGGTACAGGCTGCGCCCCTCCCCGACAGATCCCTGGCCGAGTGTCCCTGCTGCCTCTGCCCTTGCACCCCTTGAACGTAATAACCCGTGTCTGCTCACATCCAGGCGAAGAAGTGCATCTCCTCCCACCTCAGCACGTTGGCAGATTTTGCCATCGAGATGTTCGACGTCCTGGATGAGATCAACTACCAGTCTTACAATGACTTTGTGCTCCGTGTCGGTACGTGGCTGCAGGCCGTCCCATCCCGGGGGCCAGCACACCCTTCCCGCACCCGCCCCAGGAGCTGGTGGCCGCGGCCCTCCCCCTAGGAGGTCATTGGTCCAGGCTCCCTTGTCTCAGGGAGGAAAGTGGAGCCACCCAGATGAGTGAGTGGGGCTCAGGGACAGCTGGGTGTGCCTCAGAGCTGGGTATCAGTGACTTAGGACCTGAAAGAGTTATTGTCCAGCTCACAAAACACATGAGAAATGTAGATTGTCTCAGAGGCTTTCAGATACACCTCTGAGTCCACACTTAGCTGGAGGAAGATGCCCCATTTCCCTGTCAGCAGGCCCGGAACACTGGGGCCGCGGCTGTGCAGAGCCCCGCTGTGCAGACTCAAGCCGGGTCCTATGTCCTCCTGGGGTCCCTTCCCTCACCTGTGCATGAGGAGGGGGACCATCAGAGCTTTAAGTTCCTTTCTAGCTTTTATAAATCTGTAGGTTTTTTTTCACTCTTAAATTCAGCTTTTTTCTGGGAAGAAGATAGTTTCCCACAAAAATTCTTGCTAGTCAAGGATATAGTTAAACTAGAGATTTATGATTTTTTTAAAAAAATCTTTGTCTTAACTATTTTAGGTTTTTCAATTTATTTTTCAGTGGGGGAGTTAATTAGGCTTATTTATTTACTTTTTTAATGGGATGCTGGGGATTGAACCCAGGACCTCTTTCGTGCTAAGCACGGACCCTACCACTAAGATATGCCCTCCTCCCTGCAGA